CCTGTGGTCTCCTCCTCAGAGATGTCTCTGAGTCACCATGCCCAACTGCAAGGAGAGATGCATGAAGTCAGGCTACCCTTGCTCCTTCATTAATCCTAACTTTCTAAAGGCTCCAACCTTCAGTGTCTTCACTGAGAAGCTCAGAGGGACTTACCAGTCCAGCAGGCCCCAATCATGAGAGCAGGTTCCCTTCGGGGCGGGTGGATGAGACCATTGTCATGGATGAGGGCAGGGTCAAATGAGATGCCATCGGCATAAAGCGTGACTGTGGGGAACTCCAGGTTCAAAGCATAGTGGTGCCATTCATCATCACAGACCTGGCAAAGCAGTGTAAGGGTAAGAACCCTCAGGTGCTTTATCTCCAGGGAACTAACACAAGGCACTGCCCCTTCTCCTGGGAGACAGGGTACAGTCCCTTATATTCTCAGCTCTATCAGCAGGGCTTACTAGTGAATTGTTGCCTACCCAGCTCAGGAAATAACATCCCTGCCCAAAATCTATCAGGCACCAACCAAGTAGGTACCTAAAATTCCGTTCTTCAGGCAAAATCTCTAAAACTATAAACATTCCTAAGAGAAGTAACACACTATTTTCTGAATAATTTTTTGCCCAAAACTGTATGTACGCATGGCACTGGAAGGTCCACAGTAGTTTGGATCCCAACAGTAAAACAAACCCGCTCTCCTTGGCAGTTTCTCCTAGGGTCAGTCAAGATGGGTGTGGGGGATGGTCAGAGGAATGAGGGGTAGCCAGTTCTCTGCCTTATTAGCTTCCAAGTGCTGGAATGCCTCACAGTCCAACCTAGGCCCTTTTTCTCCCTTTTCTCTCTACACACTCTTCCTAGGAGTTACCTCATCTGTTCCCATGAGTTCAGATACCATATTTATGCTGTTAACTCCAGAATGTGCATCTCCAGCCCAGAGCTCTCCTTTGAACCCTGGGCTCTCCACTTGGATGTCTCAGAGGTGTCTCAAATTTAACATGTGTAAGACAGAAGCCCACACCCCTTCCCAATTTCCTCACTTTTTCCCTGGGGCAGCATCAACACTCCACTGTCCATCCAGTTGCTCAAACGGATGACCTACAGGATGCCTTTGATCCTTCTCTTTCCATCACCTTACACATCCGACCCATCAGCAGTGCTGTTGATCCCAGATCCAAACAGAGCCAAAAGCTGTGGATTTCTGTGCAGTTCTTTATAATTCCATGCATCAGTCCAGTCCTCAACCTTACCATGGCAACAGTCTTGTCTGGGTCTTTACCTTTTTATGTCTTTTCAATAAGTTCCTCCCATAGTTGCCAAAGGGATCTTCTTAAAATACACATCTGATTAGAGTTGCAGATATAAATCTGATCTGATTGGATCACCTCCCTGCTTTAAACCCTTCAAAAGGCTTCCTACCTCTTACAGGACAAAACCTAAACAAACTGGGGCACCTGGGTGGCTCAGTTGGTTAAGTGTCCAACTTCAGCTTAGGTCATGATGTCATGGTTCTTGAGTTTGAGCCCCACATTGAGCTCTCTGCTGTCAGCACAGAGCCTGCTTCAGATCCTCTGTCCTCCTCTCTCTCTGCCCCTCCCCTGCTCACATTCTCTCTCTCTCTCAAAAATAAATAAATAAAACATTAAAAAAAAAAAACCTAACCTTAAAAAAATCTAAACAAACTACAGCTGGACAAAGTCCATTGCACAACCTGATCACTGCCCAGCTCTCCAACCTCATGTCCAGTCTTTCCCCCTTGTTCATTGTATTCCAGCCCACTGACCTTCTTCCCATGCTTGGAACAGGCAAAGCGCTTTCCTGCCTCAGGGCCTTTGCATCAGCCCTTCCCTCTGCCTAGAACACTTTCTTCTCAGCTATTTCCCATCCTTTAGAACAAAACTTAGATTTCACCTCCATCAGGACTTCCCTGAGCATTAGATCTAAAGTGAATTCCCCCTCTTTGTCCTCCCCCACTCTCCACTTCAGTCCCTGCTTGTTCTTTCAGAGAATTCATCACAATTTACCATTTACATATGTCTCCCTACTTTCTAAAAATCTACCTCTCCAACTAAAATGTAAGCTCAAAGAAGGCAAATATTTTCTTTCCCTTATACTCCACTGTATCCCTAGAACCAAGCAGAATGGCAGACACGTACTTGATATTTAACATGTGTTGAATAAATAAAGGAAAATAAAAGAAAAACAGATGTTGCTAACATTAGCAACAAGAGGGAAAGATCAAGAAGCAGCAAATGGCAGACTGTCTCCTTCACAGAGTACCAGAGAAAGCAAAAGCTTTTGTAGACAGCCCTCAATTATCCAGTCTGTGGATTTTCTAGGCCCCTCCTTTCTCTTTCTCTCTCTTCCACTTCCTGCCTTTTCGCAGCTATTTGCTTACTCAGCCACTCTACTGGGGCCTGCAAGAAAAGTAGAAGGAGATGGGAACTCAAATTAGTCCCCATTGGTCCTCACGGTCAGCTTACAGGGCGAGTAAAGAAGAGGTTGTCACTGTCGACTCAAGAGAGGATTTTACATATTTTTTGTCCGTTTTTATTTATCCTTCATAATCATGCGTAATAATAGTGAAAATTGACATCCTTCCTGCCTACAAGGTCTAGTCCATCGTTCGCTCCTGCAACAACCCTCGGATATAAAGTTCATATTATTGGGGCACCTGGGTGGCTCAGTCGGTTAAGTGTCCAACTTCAGCTCAGGTCATGATCTCACAGTTCGTGAGTTCGAGCCCCGCATTGGGCTCTGTGCTGACAGCTCAGAGCCTGGAGCCTGCTTCAGATTCTGTGTCTCCCTCTCTCTCTGCCCCTTCCCACTCATGCTCTGTCTCTCTGTCTTAAAAATAAATAAAACATTAAAAAAAATGTTTTTAAATAAAGTTCATATTATTCCCATTTAATAAGCCAAGAAACTGGGATTTAGACATACTAATAGAGATTTCTTGGCTAGTGAGTTCCCCTGGCTGCGTCCCCCAGAATTACTTACTTTCTCGCTTACTACAGCATGCTAACTGCTTGAGAGTCAGGGATATGCACTGTTAAGGTTCTAGGTAAGAAAGAGATGAAATCAAACAAGCGGGAAAAGATAGTTGGTTGGATATGGTGTTAGTAGTAATGTGCTCCCAAATTCCTTTTAATCTTGGAGTGCTTCCTGCAGGAGACAAGCCTTGGAAAAGAACCAGAGAACCTGGGAGTAGAATGGTCAGGAACTGAAGGTGGAGCACGAAGAGGGGCCCAGGGCAATGCAGAAAATGCCAACCCTGGTCCCGGGACCCTCCTTCCATCCACCCAGCTCTCCCAGGAGCCTGGCACTGGCCTCACCTGCTCCAGCTTCCAGAGGAACTTGACTGGGCGGGCACTCTCAAGCAGAGGCCAGTAGAGGAAGGCAATTCTGCAGCCATGGACGGTCAGCGAGTAGTGAGAGAAGCCATCCTCTGAGGAGAGAGGACAGAGACAGGGGTCAAACACAGGGCCTGAGGCAAGAACAGGTTCTCATTACTCTCTTAGGTGCTCTCCCTCCCGTATTCCCTAGTGTCTCTTCTCTTTCTCTCTGACACACGCACAGAGTCCAGGCCAAGCGATAACTAGGGCTTCTCGAGCATTCTGATCGGCCAAGGTGCAACACTGGGCAGCCTGTTCCCACCCAGATTTCTACTACTCCTTTGGTTAATACATGGGTGACAACCCTTCTTAGGTCAAGAGAAGTGAGCTCGGAGAAGTGGCAGAAATGAGAGGTCAGGTCAAGACTGAGCCCTCCTAGGAAGGACGTGCTATGCAGTTGAAGGAAGATGGGGACTTGGAAACGGAGCCAACTAGCCCTTCAAAGAGGAGGACGGGATAGTGGTAGGAGAGGAAGAATGGGGCACACCACTATCCAGGCTTCTCCACTGCAGTGAACAGGTTTTAATGGGAGTAGACTGGGGAGCAGCCTACCACATGGTGGGAGGCAGCGGGTTTGGGCAACTGCAGGTGAGAAGGGCAGTGAGCAGTCCCATTGCCCTCTGAGAGTAAGCAAGGTCTCAACTCATGCGGGCAGTAAACCACACAGCTTCAGGGAGCACCAAAGCCAGCACCACCTCTTACAAATGAAGAAAGAGGCAGTGGCCTGTCCACAGCCACAAACTGGATGGTGACAGAAACAGGATAAAAAGCCAGTTTCCTCACTCTCAGACCAGTGGCCTGGGGAAGGCTCACCATTCTGGACGGTGTTACACACGATGGTTTCCTCTTCCTTTTTGCCCTTGTTGGGGGTCACACCATGCTTCATCCAGAAGGACAGAGTAAAATGGTCACTGAGGCTGTTCTGGGGCCCAGAGCCCAGCCCGGCTGTGCCACCTAGGGGCACCTGCACGGCCTGGGTGCCGTTGAACCAGTAGATAAGGCTGCTGTCCTGGCTGTAGTGCACCGAGAGTCCGGCCGTCCAGTTGGCATTGGGGCCGGGCATGGGCAACAGGTCTACCTCCCCGGTGGCGGCACCTGCAGAAGCCCCAGAAAGCACAAGTGTCAGAGCTGAGTCACAGCAGATGGGGAAATGGGAAGCAGCCAGGGAAAGAGCGAATGAAGGAGAGAGGTTTCCCACAGCTAGTCTCACCCCCTCTCCTGGCCCCTCAAAGACACCAGAGGGTGGACCTCTCTTCTAGAAATGGCTCTCCAATGAACTCAATCTCCAACTCGTCATCTCTCCCTACCATTGTTCCGCAATGTACCTGGTGACTGTCTTGTGCTACGATTATGATTATGCACGACTGCCAATGACCTATTGATTTGCTTTGGGGGCCACAGGAGTTAACCACATGCTACAACCTCTGTGGATATATATACACATATACACCTGTGGGTGGGCAAAGGAAGATGTGGGGCAGATTCTTCGGAAAGAGGCAGAGGAGGGTCAGGCAGAAGCCTGGGGAGAGGAGGGCACACTCACCACAGAGTTTCCGCAGTGCCCGTTCTGAGTAGTTGTCGCGGTCACAGCCCTTGGCCACATGGCTCGTCTGTAGCTCTATGGTGGCCTGAATGTTCCAGAGAGGTTCATCACAGGTCTCCAGGCGGATACCAGGGAACAAAGCCAGGCTCCCTGCGCCTGGTGCATATTCAATCCTTTTGTTCCAGCCTGCACAGGGGACAGGGAGAGGGTAGCGGAGAGAGAGGAAAGCAGCCCCTCTTATCCATTCTGCCATTGTCGTGTCCGCTGACACCCTTGGGTAGACAGCCAAGCTAGACAGCTGCAAGCCTGCCCCCAAATCTCTCTCCCCTGGCTCTTAACCTAGCCCTGTGATTGTCAGAAGGGACAAAAGGGAGACCCAGGTGGGAGATGATTTACAAGATGGGTGACAGCGCAGCGCGGAGCTCCTCACCTTGCCAGCTGGGTTTACAGGTGGGCTTCACCTGGATCTCCACCTCGGCATCATCCGCTGCCCGCTTCTTCCCGCAGTCGTAAGCTGTCACCGTGAACTTGTAGAGTCTCTCGCCACTGTACTGCAGCTTCTCCGTGTTCTCGATGTTTCCTGGGATAGGTGTGGGGGGAAGACAAAGAGGGTAAGGTGCGCCAGGGAAAGGCTAGGGAGGAAAGGGGAGGACTCGTGAGCCAATTGGGCAACAGGTGAATCAGGCAGCAGAAGACGGGGAAGGAGGTGTCTGGGGGAAAAAGGCTCTCCATTGGGAAGGCGGGTGTGGAAAGAGGATCTGAGGGACACAAGTGGAGAGTTCAGCCCCCGGGGTGTTCGGAGGGATGTGGGCGCCCAGGGGCGGGGCCGCAGGGGATGCACTCACCATCATTGTCGATGAGGAAGGGCGTGTTGGGGGTGAGGATCTCATAGTAGCAAATCTGACTGTACTGGGGGGAGCAGTCACCATCGATGGCTTCCACCCGCAGAATGCGGTCGTACAGCTTCCCCTCAGTTACCGCAGCGCGGTACAGCCGCTCCACAAACACGGGGGCAAACTCATTTACGTCATTGACCCGCACGTGCACAGTCGCCCTGCACAGTACCCGAGCAGAAGGAGGGACAAGCAAGAGTCAGCCGGCCTCAAAACTCAAGGAGGGGAATGCAGACAGGGAGTCAGAGCACACAGGAGCCAGTGTGTCCCGAGCCCAGGGCTGTGGGCATGCTCATCCCGCCCTCCAGGGCGCCAGGCACCACACAGGCAGGGGTGACTGATGTCAGGGGTAAAGGACAACTTCAGAGGACACCCTCAGCTGACTTGGAGAACTCCTGTACAGAGTCCTATAGGTTCGGTGCTAAGACAAGGGCTAAGACAGAATTTTGCGTCCAGCTGGTTGTTCCTCCACAACAGTCAGATCCAACGGGATAACCGAGGAAGACACAGAATAAAAGCCAAATTAAAAGCCAAATTAAGGGGCGCCTGGGTGGCGCAGTCGGTTAAGCGTCCGGCTTCAGTCAGGTCACGATCTCGCGGTCCGTGAGTTCGAGCCCCGCGTCGGGCTCTGGGCTGATGGCTCAGAGCCTGGAGCCTGTTTCCGGTTCTGTGTCTCCCTCTCTCTCTGCCCCTCGCCCATTCGTGCTCTGTCTCTCTCTGTCCCAAAAATAAATAAACGTTGGAAAAAAAATTTTTTTTAAATAAAAAATAAAAAATAAAAAAAAATAAAAGCCAAATTAAAAGCAACTGGGGGGTGGGGCGCCTGGCTGGCTCGGTCGGTGGAGCATTCAACTCTTGGTGTCGGGGTTGTGAGTTCTAGCCCCGCACTGGGTGTAGAAATTACTTAAAAATAAACTCTTTAAAACCAACCAGGGGAAGGGAAGTGGTATTTATATAAAAGCCATTAAGTCATCCGACACGAGCGTGAGCGGAGGGCCGTCTTCTGTGCACATGTGTGCAACGTGTTTGACAGGTGTGGCCCCCCTACTCGGGGCCCATGGGGCGGACAGCCCTGGGGCTATGCCTTTCATGCAGAGCGCGGCCTCCCACCAAGATCTAGGCACCCGGGGCCCAGAGGCAGGGTCCTGTCTCCAAATGGGAAACTGAGTCACAAGGTGCGGTTTGCCACCGGTGCCTCTTAGCGGCCCAGGAACCCTGACTGCCAACCTTTCTCCCATTCTCTGATGAGAAGCCGGCTGGGAACAGACATAGGAGTCTCGGGCCCCAGGCTTGGCCGTGCAGGAGCCATTTCCTGCGCACCCTCACCTAGCATCGTGCATGTGTACATCGTGAGTATGTGAGTGTGGGACGCGCTGCAGACTGGTGGGGCAGGGGGAAGAAATCCGGATGTGTGCTGATGTGCTCATCCTCCTCCTCCGCGTTCCCCTCCTCCTCCTCATGACCCATGTACTGAGCCTTTCCCGTGCATCAGGCACTGTGGTGCCTGCTTTTTACATAAACCATTGCCTTTACTCTTCACGGCAATCTAAGGAAGGAGGATCGTCATTCGCCCCATCTTATAGAGCAGTAAAAGCGGATCCAGGAAAGCTAAGTAAGTTGCCCAAGGTCATAAGAGGCGGAACTAAGATTAGATCCCATGAGTTCTTCTACATGTTTCTGTCACCTAGAGTGAAAGCTCCTGGAAGAAAAGACCCCGATGAACAGAGAGGGGAGGGGGTAGGTATTCAATGACAGCATGGACAGAGGAGGGTGAGGGGCGTGGGAGGAGCAGGGAGGGCTCAGCAGCCAGAAGCAGGGGACAAGGGTCTCCTCACTTGTGGGACTTCTTGGTGTTGGCCCCGTCGGGGCCCTCGCCACAGTCGTAGGCCTGGATGGTGAAGGTGTGCTCCTTCTGGGTCTCACAGTCCACTGGCTCCTTGGCCCGGATCAGCCCTTCTCCGGTTGCTTTGTCCAGAATCACGGCCTCAAAGGGCACCCCAGACCCATGGAGCCGGAAGCCACAGATCTCACCTGACCCAGGGGGGGAAGGAGGGATGAGGCTCCTTCTCCTTCACCACTTCCAGCACCTTCTGCCCAGCCTCCCCGCCTCCGTTCCACTTCGCCTCTCCTCCCAAACCCCCGTCCCTTCTCTTGTACGTGTGACAGTGTTAATTATCAGACATATAGCTCCAACACCAGCGTCCCCAAGCTGCAGCCTCTCAGAGCTACTGGGTCTGAGATCTGACCAAATCGTGATGCAGTTAACCTCTGCCTGCCCGCGTCCTTCTCTCTGGCTCCCTGTACTCAGCCACCATCCTTAAGCCTACTTCTACCACTTTGCCGAGGCCTCTTCCCCACTTCCTCTGCTCTCCTCTCCCAGGACCTCCCCTCTCCCCGCCCAACCACTTTTCTCTGTCCCACCCACCTTGGCATCCCCCAACCCCAATTACCTGCATAGCGCAGGGGAGCATCCTTGTCCAGAGCAAAGAGTGGTGGGTTCAGCAGGACCGTGTTGTCATTCTCCATGACGATGCCCTGGTATTCTGCCTCGATCCATGGCTTGTGCTTGTTGGCTGACCCCCGCCCAGGGAGAGGAGAGGACTCACCTGTGAGCTGGCCCTCCACTCCTGCACAACCCCGACCCACTTACACTCCACTATTAGCCCCCTTTCCACCCTCTGCAGAAGCACGTGCAGGAGGAAGGGCTGAGGTCAAGAAATCAGCATTAAAGGAGTCAGAGGGTCTGTGGGATGTCACAGCCTTCTGCCCTTGGCAGGATAGACCGTTTCCATGGCAACAGCCTACCCTGGGGGAGGAGGAGAAGGAGGAGGAGGAGGACCACTATCTCCCCTGGGAAACATGGTCAGGGGGTAAAGAATTTTCTTGAGGGATTTCAAGTGCTAGTGAGTGGAGACTGGAGATTCGGAGAGCAGTGGTGGGCCATCAGAAGGCCCTGGGAAAGGGCAGAGTTGAGATTAGAGAAAAAAGATCTAGACGTTTCCTGAGATCCTGCGTGTTTATCTTCTCCACTACCACCACCACCACCCCCACCCCCATTTCAGTCCTCATCCCCTCACTCTGCCCTTCTCCAAGCCAAGCCCCAGCCTAAATCCATCCAACCTAAGAGAAGAGAAAATATATAGGACAGAAGGAGGGGGACAGAAAGGGGCAGGGATGGAGGTGAGGAATCAATGCCAAATGACCGGACCCAGCACAGCCGACATCCTAAGGGATTATTGAGCTGGCCTAGAAACACGACAAATCTCCTGCCTGCCTCTCATCCCTACACCCAAGAGAGCACAATCGCAGCCAGCACATTGCTACATCCCCCACAAGGCCACCAAACCCCACACTCCCTGACCCCCACTTCTTATTCAGACTCATGAGTTAGTCCTCCTTCTTGCTTACCCCTTTCTTCCCTTCAACCACCAGCCAAGCCAGGAAGGATACAGGACTCACTCGGCCTCTAGATTTCCCTACCTCTTGCCAGACTCAGCTCACTTGTGTCTCCTCCCCGGGACCGATCTCCCCCTAGCCCAGTGAGGGGCCTTGGGGAAGGCACAGTGTGCTCCCTTCCCTTCTACATCACCTCCACCTCAGCTGCCACCGTTTGCTCTAGGTAATCCCACCATGCCAGCCCCCAGACTCCCAAAGCACATTCATGATGGCCCATCAATGGAACATGGGTGGAAGAAGACATATCATCAGAGGGAAACTGAGTCACCAAAAGGAAACTTCCCCAGGATGTCATGGTGAGCAAAAAATCCTGTCTTCCAGTCTTTCCTCCAACTACACCACAAAAAAAAAAAAAAAAAAAAAAAAAAAAAAAAGGCTTCTGGTATCGGAACGCCTGCCCCTTTCTAGCAGATGACCACCAGAACCCCCTTCTCGAATGGCAGAGGAGGAAGCCACAAGATGGTGCTCAAAAGGCAGCACAGGAAGTGGCAGGAGGCTAAGAAGCTGGGTTGAGGTCAGACACTGAGGCGAGGAGCCACAGCCTGAAGATGGAAGGGTTGTGGTGCCGCAGGGCCAGGGCTGGGCGCCTTCTCCACAGCTCACCCCCAGTCTCCCTGCTCCTCTCCTCTTGGCCACAGACTCTCCTTGTGTTCTTTTCCTTCACTCGCTGCTGGCTCCCTGCCCTTCCTTCCTCGACTTCCCCTTCCCCCTCTTCTGTCCCTTTCAATCCTCTCTTTTTTTGCCTCCACCTTTACCCTCTTCCATCCATCTCCTTCTTACCCCCCTCCCACACCTCATGTCCGTCGTCCTCAGCTTTTTCCTCTCACCGCTCATCTGGCACCCCCTACACACCCACTTTTGCCCTTGCCTGCTTTCCTCCACCTACCTGAGCCTTAGCCCCTCACCCTTCGCCCCTCGTCCCTCGTCCCTCGTCCCT